CTAATCCTTGCATAACTTGTGTTGAAACCTATGTTGCTTGAACTCTCCAAAAATGTCATCTTACTGGTGTCAGATTCTCTAAAAATGCACTACTTTTGGAGTATCCTACACACAACTGTCAAAAACTTTTTGGAGAGTCTGAGCAACATAGCTTGAAACAACAACCCCTTAAAAGATAATGTGTAGCACCACGTTAGTGAGTTACTTGATAAATGATAGGTAGCATGTTACTTTTATATCTCTCTAAGGAGGCTATTCTAAATTCTGGTTGCATTTTTATTGGATTTTTGATGCAGAATGAACACTTCCCTTTCATTTACTGTGTGGAAAGTCTGGTCTACCACAAGAATTATACCCAATGGGAAACATGTTTTGAAAAACTGAATTTGAAGAAAAAGCTTGTTACTAATTGTGTCCTCAGTGGGCGAGGGAAAGAGGTTAGTTCTCTTGATTGATTTACAGCTAATCATAAATCATGTCCTTTCTATTTCTCTCTCCGGTTTTTGATTTTTGGGTGTTATTGAGCATTTCATGGTAAGTTGGTATTATTTCTGAATTACTTTGCTGTAAAGATGTATTTGAATTTATAATTTCACATCATAATGAGCAAAAAAAAGAACTTTTGTTTTCCATTGTTGTTCTATTCCTTGATCAATAGATGTTGAGCATATGAATATGAAGAGGAATTCTTTCAAGTCGGCTATTGTCAGTTCACAGATATACATTCTTGAGCATACTAGCTTGCGTTATTCATCTATGTATATAGAAGTAGTTGAATTTGAATGTATTCTTCATGAAATTAAGTTTAAGTAGACAGTCATAAAAAATAAAAAGAAAGCAAAGTATTCTCTGTTATATCTTGCTTCGTTATCGTAATAGTTATAGTACCACCTGTTTGGATATACCTCCTCTTTCTCCCTCTTGGATATACCCTTCAATGTGTTGGTAAATAGCACATAAAAATACTATTCAGGGTATATTACAAGAATAAAAACGGACGTGACAGCGAGAATAAAAAAGAGAAACAACAAAACCAAGATTCAAATGTGGAAAATCATTCTCAATAAAGAATAAATCACAGCTCGAAAGGATCGATTCTTTCAAAACACAAGCAGTCCCTTGAGATATTTCTCCGGTACATGGAATATCCAGTTGAGAGATCCCAGTGTTCTGTTCTGGGATTTTCAAGAAACGTGCTGACAGCACCGCTTGCATGAGCAATGTCATGTGTTGCAAACTGTGCGTAATTAAACTCCCGATGGCAAAGGAATAGGGAACTTCTCCCATGCTATCTTTCTCTTCCTTTGTTTTAAGACGCATCTTCTTGCTCAACTTTGTACGGCTAGCAAGTGGTGTGCAGATTGACTTAGCATTCTTCATGTTAAAGCAGTCAAGTACACATTCGATGTACTTCGCTTGTGACAACCACACCTTTCTACAAATGACTTGGACAAGTCTCCCGTCAACTTGATCAACTTCTTGTCTTGTCATATAATAATCATGTCATCCATGTACAACAAAATGATAAAAAGTTATAAAATATTTACAAATGATACTATTTTCTTGTAGAGATTCCATCTCTTTTTGCATGACTTTCATCCAATACCTTCTTAAGACTTTTCGGTTCCTCTCATCACTAATGAGGACATACTTGAGGAAGCATACTTGGATGATTAATGATTTTACCCTTTGCCTTTTTTGATTTCCTTAGAGGTTGCTCTACTTCTTGAGTAGGATCATCAAGTGGCGCCCCTTCCTCAACATCTTCATCAGGGTGCTCTTTCTCAGCAACCTTCTCTACTCTTTCTGTAGTGCTTTCTCCGCCTACAAGATGGCTAGAAGTAGAATTACTGTAACAAGATTATGGGCTATATTTTTTCCTGGCAACGCTGACTGTTTATTAGCAATTCCACATTATTCTCTCGGAACCTATATTTCTGCTTCTTGAAACTTCTTTTCGGGATCCCACAATATGTAACCGATGAATATGCAGGGATTTTCCAACTTCATTTGTTGCTCCTACAGTTCATGTTCTGAAGCTCTCACATGAACACCTTTAGCTTGGGAGTAGGACACCTCCTCATTCGTCTAAACTTTCTCCGGGATATCTTAACCAAGTGAAATTAATAGACTTCTGTTGATCAAGTATAGGTTTTCTGAAGTCTGAACTGCTTCATCTGAAAATGACTTGGCACTTGAGCCATTCTGAGCATGCTTCTCACCTTCTCAACCATGAGGCAATTCATCCTTTTAGTTACACCATTGTGTTGTGGTGGGGTTTCGGGAACTGTCTTTTCATGTATGATCCAATGACTTGAACAATACTCATCAAATTCCATTGAAATGTAGTCACCTCTGTTGTCAGGTCTGAGACGCGTTAGTGTTCAAGTTTGTCTCCCTTTTCACTAGAACAAGGAACTTCTGAAAATCTTGAAACACCTAGTTTTTGGTTCTTAAGAAATAAACCCACAGTTTTCGGCAAACAAGTGGCGGCTTGGCTAATGAAATTGTAATTTAAACCTTATTCTCATGATTTATGAGAGTTGCATATAGAGGAGAAGTGAGTCAAATTAATTAAGAAATTCAAAACAAAATTGCTAACATAGTGGTAAAAGTACTTCAGAAATTTGTAGTGGTGCAGGTCAACAAATGATGTCTTCCTCGTTTCTTGCTATGATGAGACCGGAGAGGATTTAAGTTACTCACATGCGCTGTTTGAGATTGATGAAATTGTGTAGAATAACTCAGCAAGCTAGTCCTAGCATCCATTTGTTTGCTTGAATTCCAACAACAGAAAATCACTATTATCGAGCTTATCGGAAGCAAATTTGATTCATTAAGAGCTTTGATGGTACAATGTTTTGTTTCTTATAGTAACATCTTATGTTCTGTGAATTAATGTTACTTGATCTTATGTGCAGCTCGAACTACAGTATGCGGCTGAGACGAATGCCCTTCAACCTCCACATAAATATGTACCGTGGGTTGTTGTTGATGGTCAACCACTTTATGATGTTAGTTCTTCTTACTCTACATTTCAGTACTTGCACTGTTTATTATCTAGTGTTATAGTCCTTTTTTCACTGTTTGTCGAAATATATTTTCAAGTTCTTTTCCTGCATGCACGCCGAGAATAAACTCCTTCTCCCCTCCCCCCCCCCGCCCACACACACGCACCCAGCATTTCCCCTGAAAACTATTTCACAATAATATGAAAGTACCAGCATTACACTTTAAGGAGCGGACTTCAACCTTCTGGGCTGATATAGAGCTTTTTACCTTTGAAATTGCCTTGGCTCTCAACAGTTCCTCGAAGTCTTTTCTATATCTATCTGCTATCGAAGTTTTTGTTTTGTACAATTTTTACAACAACATACCTAGTGTAATCCCACAAGTGGGGTCTTGGGAGGGTGGTGTGTACGCCGCCTTACCCTCTTACCTTGTGAAGGTAGAGAGATTGTTTTATGGTTTGCTATATGAAAATTCTTTACTCTTGACAATATATTTCATTGTTGCAGGACTACATGGACTTCATTAGCTTCATCTGCAAAGCGTACAAAGGAACTGCCCCGGTCCCTAGTTGCAGCTCATCCATCAATGTCGTTAAAATTGGAAGGAAATTTAATCCTTTCTGTTTAAAGCAGACAGCCATGTCAAAGTTATCAACTGTAAGTTCGACTATCACATCATGGTTGAACCGCGCTAAGCTCACTGCATCTGCATGATACTATAGAGCTCGTTGGTGCAGACACACGTTTTTCGTTTTATGAAATGATGAGATACTGTAGTTGGTTTATGCAATTCTAATATACTTGTCATGATGGATGATAATGAAGAAGGTGCTCAGTTCTCTCTAATCAGCTGTTGATGGGAAATGTTGTAATATGAGAATTCAGAAACCACCTCTCTACCTTCATGAGGTAGTAGTAAGATCTGCGTATGTACATTCTATCCTCTCCAGACCTCACTTGTGAGATTTCACTGGATATGTAGTTGTTGGTTGAATTGTGATGTGGATATAGAAAGTGTGGGTTTTTATAAGTTGTCTACCTCTAAGTAGCCATGCCATAATATGATCTTATTTTATGTTTTGTTCTTTTTTAGCACCATTGCACACAGTTCAAGGTGAAAATAATGGATTCAGTTGGGTTTTAAATTCGACTATGGATTATTAGCTTGTTTTGGCCAACCTTCTAATATTAACTTATTTTAAAAAGTACTTTTTTTCTTAATTAGTTGTTCCTAATTACTTGTCCATTTTGACAAATCAAGAAAGGACGATTTTTTTTATCTATCATATCCTCAATTAATTATTTTGAAGAAAATCAGAATTTTTTGAAAATCTTAAGTTTTTAATTCATCTGCTTTATAATTAATAGGGATAAAATGGTAGATTAACTATGTCAATCATTGTTTTCTTATTAAGTGTGTCAATTTTAAAATGGACAAATAATTTTATTTTATTTTTTAAAATCACTTATTTTCTCTCTAAAATTTGATCCAACACCCTCGTTTTTTTTTAAAAAAAAAAAACTCTTTTTTGACGTAAATAAGAACTTCAACTTTTTTTTAGAAGGTGGCACTTGACTACGGGTGATATCGATGAGATCTGGAGTAGCTTTTAAATAAAATATAATTCACGTGGAATTTTTTTTATTCATATACAAGACAGCTAATAAAATCACATTATTTTATTCCAATAGAAAAAGTATATAAAAAATATAATCGAAATATATGAATAGTCATGTGAAATCGTGTGCACATAATATTATTTTAGAATTTCTCGTTTCCTATGGCGTTCGCATTATGTTTTTAAGTGATACCGGTATTTATTTTAATTAAAAAGTAAAAAAAATGAACAATTTATTATATATAATATAATAGTATAGACTGTTTTCACTGATCGAAGTGAAGAGGCAATTTTAAGATTGATTTCAGCTTTATCTATGATAATGATTTCGTCAGCACAAACTCTATAAAAGTCAAAAACACAAAAAAATATCCATCATCTCAAAATGGGTTTTTTTCTCCAAAAAAATTTATCATCATTTTTCCTATTTTCCTTGCTATGTTTCATCCAATTTTCTTCCATTTCTTGTGAGAAAAAAGTTTCATTAGCTTTGTATTATGAAAGCCTCTGTCCTGGTTGTTCTGATTTTATTGTTAATTATTTACCTAAGATTTTCAAGAATGGGATGATTGATTTTGTTGATCTTAAACTTGTTCCATGGGGAAATACTAAAATTCAACCCAATAACACCTTCAAATGCCAGGTAATCCAACAATCTCTTTTTTTCTTTAACACATCATGTGTTAGTGTTGAGTTTTAAATTAGTTTTTGTACATAAAAATCACTCAGTGGCTATTCGAGAGATATTTTGATTGAATCAGTGAGAAAATAACAAATAGTAGTGTTTTCACATGGAATAATTAAGAAGCTTTCTGGTACCATCAACTGTTGATGGTGGGAGGTGTGAGGTATCCCGTGAAATTAGTTGAGGTGGCTCGAAACCAAGGTTATAAAAAAGAAGAAGAAGGGACTTATGATGTTCTCTTTGTTGTAATGGTTGCAGCATGGTCCAGCTGAATGTTTTCTGGACACTGTAGAGGCTTGTGCTCTAGATGTCTGGCCAGATTTGGTAAGTTATCGGTACTTTCTGAGCAATTTACTTGCACATAGTTCAGTTATCGAAAATTGTTTCTGCGACATTTTTATTGGATATATTTGATGCAGAACGAACACTTTCCTTTTATTCACTGTGTGGAAAGTTGGATCTACCATAAGAATTATACCCAATGGGAAACATGTTTCGAAAAACTGAATTTGAAGAAAAAACTCGTTACTGATTGTGTTGGCGGCGACCGAGGCAAACAGGTTAGTTCTCTTGATTGATTTACATCTAATCCCGTTCTGTTTGAAGAAAAAAACTCGTTTCTTGTACTTCTGTTTCTATTTTTCCCTTGAGCCGAGGTCTATCGGAAACAACCTTTGAAGTAAAGGTAATGTCTACGTATGTACTCTCTACCCTCCCCTCCCCCCATCGACTTTGTGGGATGATACTAGGTAAGTTGATGTTGTTGTTGTTGATTTCAGGTCGTAGTGTATTCCTCATTTCTTGCTGTAAAGAACTACGATTGAACAAAAAAAAATCATAGATGTGAAGCGAACTTGATATCTTAAGAAATTGATTGGATTTTTTTAGCTGTAGTATATCTTATGCTGTGTGAATTAAACGTCACTTAAATCTTATGTTGCAGCTTGAACTACGTCACGCAGCTGAGACACCTCCGCATAAATTTGTGCCATGGGTTGTTGTTGATGGACAACCGCTTTACACTGTTAGTTTCTAATTCTTCCTCTATATTCTTGCATTTTGCAATATTATACACCTGCTAGAGTCCCTATCGGAAACTACTTCTCTAACTCTCAAAGTAGAATAACGTCTACGTACACTCTACCCTCCCAGACTCCTCTTGTGGAATCACATACACTGGATTTGTCTTTGATATTGCCTTTTGCTTTCAACAATTCTTCATAAGTCTTTTCTACATCTATCTGCTTCCAGAAGTGTTGTTTTGTACGATTTGTGACTAATGTAAATGACCTCTATGTGGGGGGGAGGGGGGGAATCGGAAGTTTTGTAGATGATGGTTGTGATCAAGAAGTACATAGAAACTCAGAAAATCATTGATTATGGTGTAGTATGAAAATTCTCCTCTGAGCACGACTTGGTCTGCTAATCGCGTTAAACCATCTAAACGCTATGTTGCTCTATGGTCAATCTTCAAAAATGTCACCAGATGTCTGTCGGATCCTTCAAAAGTAGCATTGTTATGGAGGTTCTGACACGGATGTGACTAGCATTGAGTGTTTGAACAACTTAGTCTAAAGGAGTACCGTTAGCCCTCAAAAGTACTTTCCTTCTAACGCGATGACAATGTATTTTCATCATTGCAGGACTACAGGGAATTCATAAGCTACATTTGCAAAGCTTACAAAGGAACCACGCCAATCCCCGGTTGCAGCTCATCTGATTCTTTAAGTTTCACTTCCAAGTTATCAACTATAAGTTCAACAATTACATCATTTGTTGAACAGAGAGTTAAGCTTGCTGCATCTGCATAATCCACAGACTGCTCTCTATTGCGCGCGCTGCGCGCGTAAACTATATAATAGAGCTCCTTGATGCTGGTTATGTTTTATGAAATGATGAATTTGTGACTGCATTTGTAAAATATTTATCATAGTTTGAATGATAATGAAGGTGTTCAGTTCTCTAATAAGTTGTTTATAGAAATTGTTTGCTTTTGTTATACAATTTATAACACCTTATCACTTATCAGCATGAGACTCGATTATCTCGAGCAAATACTCTAAAAGACATTGATCGTACGGACATTCTTTTGCATAAATTATGACAAATTGAATTTGGCTGTGGTCTGTGGATATATCGGCAAAAGTCATTTTTTTAATTGAACACTATACAATTTCGAAGGAAAAAAAAGGAGCTTTGCCGTTGAGAAAAAAAAAAGGCAATTACTTCACTTTACTCGAGCTAATCAGGCTTGATGTTGGGAATAGAAGAAGATTTGATTCACCAATAGGCGAAGAAGCAATTCCAATAGCTATTATTGTCATCTCACCTCATTCAATCTTAATGACAGATAGTTCAGTATTTTATGTTAAAAATTAATTTGATAGTGATGATATGACAAACAACATCAAAAATAAAAATGAAACATCGAAACAAGATTTTTTTTAAAAAAAGAAAGTCTATCTATCTTTTATGTCAATTAAATCGATTAGGGGGACTTAAAATCTTAACATCAAGAAGCAAAATAGTAGATACACGATATAGGATTATGTTAAAGAAATTATATTTCTACATATTCACCTTGATGAAGGTTTGAAAATGAAATATTTTATTGTTAAAGATATACTAGTGTTTGTGGGATAATTTGAAAGATAAATATGATCACATGAAGATATTATTTTTTCCACAAACACGTTTTAATTAGATTCATTTAAGACCAAAATTTGCTAGTAAAGTGGGCCAATGAGCATACACAATCATTTATTTTATGATACGATATTATTTTAATGAATATGATATTGGATAAATAGTATTGTTTCCATCATTACATAATATTACAGATTTTTAATAACTTGAAAGATAAATTTATAAGATAAGTAGGGTAGGGAATAAAGTTACTAAAAATAAAATAAGATTATTATATGTAGGGTAGGGGATACAGTTACTAAGGATAAAATAAAATTAATAATTAAAGATAAAGTGAGAAGGAAAAAAAATGGATAACTATGAGATCACACCATAGACGCCGTTACACAAAAATGAGATTGTTTGTGATTACCTAACGATGAATTTAGCATACAATACAATAAAATTTAAGTAACAAACATGGCATCGGACCAAAACACCTAAACTCGTTTGAGTGGTATATTATATATGATTTTAAATCAAAAATATGTGCAGTAGCGGATCCACAATTATTATTAAGGGATGTCAATGGTTGTAGTAAAAAATATAATTATGAGACTAGTAGGACTAGAACAAGCAACCTCAAGGAATTTTCACAACGCTTCAATCACTATTCATTAGACTAAACCTTTAAGTACTTGTTTCAAGAGGTGTCAATACTTATATACATGTCTATTAAACCAAAATTTGACCTCTATATATAATGTAATTTTCCGACAGAGGGGTGTCGCTTAACACCCCTTTGGTAAGGGTGGGTCCGCCCCTAAAGACGGTAATAATTTATTACTTTATCCCTGCATAAATATTAAATATTAATATTAATACTTTACTGGTTATTACCTTTGTCATTTAGCCTTCAATTCACATTATTATCCTAAATCTTTTATTTGTGTTGTACTTGTGTAGTTTTTTTTTCATGTTAGGTATTATTGTTTCTATTTTATATACATTTTGTAAAGTTATGTTATTGTCTTGTCGCCGAAATTATTAGAGACGTTATATATTTATTTTATGAGTATTTTTTATTAGTTAAATCGAAACCGAACTGTTAAGTACCAAACTCGATAAACCGAAAACCGATAAAAAATATCTTATTGATTTAGCATATTTGAAAATAAAAAACCAATAAACCAAATCGAAAATACATAAATCGAATTGAACCGACCAAAAACACATCTACTATAAGCTAATAGATTAACAAACTAACATATTTTGCCCTTTTACGTTTACACCTTCTCAAATTATTATAAGAAAAATTCTAAAAAAATTGTAGAATATGATCTTTAAACTTGTTTTATTTTCTTTTACTTGTTATAATTGAAAAAAATGATTAGATTGGAGATTCGGTTTAACATTGATTTCCCTATTAAAAGTACAAAAAACAAATTTCATAAGTAATAATCTAAATGATATTCATGAATTCATGACAAAAAATCATCACAATAAAAGATTCGAACAAACAATAATGTTATAAAAAGACATAATTGTAGAATGGAATTATTACACTGACATGAAATTGTTTTATAAATTTATTACTTTCCCATAAAATATCAATCAAATGTAAAAGAAAAATGTTAATAATGGGGCCAACAATTATCAACTTGATGAAAGTGTTCTATTCATCAATTAACGTTTCTTTCTTCTTTTCACTACTAAAATAATAATAAATGGAATTAACTACAAAATAAATGACTAATCTATCACTAAATTATTCATTTCTAATATATCAATAATATCCATCGCTACGGATTTTGTTAGCTAGTTAGGAGATCACGACGGCAAATAGGGTAAGAATGACTATTCTCTAACCATCTTATAATGCAATCTCTATGAAACATATACGAGCGAGGCGTTATAACAACTCCCTTTTCATTCCAAGTTCTTCTAAACAAATCACACAATCATTCTTCAAAAGATCTTCATCAACTTCTATTCTATTTACCGATTGCAATATAGATGATTCATCCTTTATCATCCGGTCAACGATTATAGTCACACCAACATAAACATTCAAATTCATACTATCATCATGCATCATAAATTCACGTATCTTAGCTAGCATATCACGGTTGACAACGTGACGATAATTCTGATTGAATTCTTCATCCAAATTTACGAGTTTTTCATGCATAGTACGATAGAACAATATGTCATCACACGACGTGTATAATAAAGGGTGAAGGTTGAAACAAAGGGATTTGGTATGAATTTCCTCATGGTGTGGTTTAAAGTTTTTAGACCTATTGTAAGAAATGTAGGAGACGTTTGTGGAAATTTTCTGATGCTTTATTGATCATCATCTTCAATCTTTATATACAAGTATTCTGTGCAAGAAAATAAGAAAAAGGAAAATACAGAAAAATCACAGCTGTACACTTGTCTAAATCCTGTAGAAATATTCTAACAACCTAACTAATTTTATTCCCTCCTATGTTGATATAGTGTGTTGCTCACGTGCTCTTCTTCATTCATTTCATTCTGCAGCTAATAGATGAGTGGAAATTATGTTTGCCAACATCCCCCCTCAAGTTGGAGGGGAGAGAAGAAACCCCCAACTTGGATAAAATGCCATGATGGGAAGCGCCAGAAAGAGGCTTTGTGAAAATATCTGCGAGCTGGAGTTTGAAGGAACAAATTGAAGAGAGATCAACCCAGAGGCATATTGTTGTCGAACAAAGTGACAGTCAAGTTCCACATGCTTTGTCCTCTCATGGAAAACAGGGTTGTGGGCGATATGAATCACAACTTGACTATCAGAGTTAATAGGAATAGGTAATGATGGTGGGACTAAAAGATCCTCCAGTAAACGGATGAGCCAAGTTATCTCGGCAGTGACTTTTCTCATGGACTTGTATTCTGCCTCTGCTGAAGAAAGGGAAATAAAAGCTTGCTTCTTTGATTTCCATGAGATAGGGGAACCACCAAGGGTAATGAAGAATCCACTAATCGACCGGCGAGAAACCTTACAAGATGCCCAGTCGGCATCGCAAAAAACATTTAGAGATAGGGAAGGAGCAGACGATAAGAGAATCCCTTGCCCTGGATCCAAAGCCAGATATTTCAATACACGAAGAGCAGCAGAGTAATGGGAGTGGCATGGCCACTGCATGAATTGACTGAGTTTCAACACTGGAAAAGCAAGGTCTGGACGAGTATGTGTCAGATAATTCAATTTCCCTACTAAATGCCTATACGTGGTAGGATCAGAAAGAAGTATGTCAGCATCCGCATGTAGTTTGATAGAGGGATCCAAATGAGAAGTAACAGAGGAAACATTGGAAGTATCAAATTCTTTGAGAAGGTCAAGAGCAAATTTGCGTTGAGTGATGATAAAACCTTGATTCTCTCTAATAATTTTCAGACCAAGAAAATAATTGATATCCCCTAAATCCTTTACCCTAAATTCAGCATTCAGAAAAGACTTGATTTCAGCAATTTCATGAAGATCATCACCAGTTAAAAGAATATCATCCACATAAATCGTAACAATAGAGATAAGTCCTGCGGATCTTTTGAAAAACAGAGAGTAGTCATTCAAAGACGAAGTGTACCCCTTGTAGCTTAGAGCACCAGCAAGTCAAGAATACCACTGTCGAGAAGCTTGTTTCAAGCCATACAAAGACTTTTTAAGAAGACAAACATGGGTAGGTGATGGAGGAATAAGCCCGGGTGGGAATTTCATGAAAACTTCCTCATCTAATGAACCATGTAAGAAGGCATTACTGACATCCAATTGTGAAACTTTTCAATCTTTCTTTACTGCCACTGCTAAGAGACACCTGATGGTTGTCATTTTGACAACATGAGAAAAAGTCTCATTGTAGTAAATTCCCTCTCTTTGAATATCCCCCTTCACCACCAATCGAGCTTTAAATCTTTCAATTGAACCATCAGAAAGAAGTTTGATCTTGTATACCCATTTGCAAGGTAAAACCTTCTTTCCTAAAGGTAGTGAAACAACTTCCCAAGTGTCGTTGAGTTCTAGAGCTGCAATTTCTGCAGCCATAGCAGATACCCAGTCAGGGTGGGCAACAGCTTGAGAGTAACTAGTGGGTTCAGTAAAATTGGTGAGGGATCTAAAAATTTGCTGATTAGGAACAGACAGGGTATTAAAATAAAAAAGTTGAGTAGGAGGAGGGAAAGCAAAGCACGAGTCAATAAGATTAGTGAGATAAACACTACTGCATACGAAATCCTTAAGATAACCTGGTTTGTGAGAAAGCCTGTCTGATCTTCTAGGATAAGGGATAGGGGGAATGACATAGTTTGGTGAAGGAGGATGAACAATGTTAGGAGAA